GTGAGACCACCAATCATATAATGTGTACCATGAAATAATCGCCATAAAGGTGATTGTGGTCGTGCAAGAATATCATCACCAGGAAAAGGAATTAAATGCGTTTCTTCAGTATGTGATGTCATGTCTTGTTTGATGTCAATACAATCTTTGTAAAATGTTGAAGTGCGTTCTTTTTCTCTCGTTAATGTGAGTATATATAAGGTGGCCTTCAAAAAAGCACAAAAATACACCCTGGTTTCTTTTTTCCTCTTGTTTTGATGTTGCAGTATTGACGCAGAACGGAAAAAGAAAATCTATGGTAGTATTTGCGTATCTCTTTTTATCTATATAAAACTGCTGTGAGATTAAGACAATTTCGCACATGCTTTCTAGCACACCCCTTACGGAGAGAAAAAGAAAAGAAAACCAGATACTCTGCTTTTGGTATATTTTGATGTGTCAAAGTACAAAAGTATTTTCAAATGAAACTGAAGTATTTTATGTTATATAAATACAAGTAGTATAAAATTATTTTCTAACCTAGGGTAGATACTTCAATATAATTGGATTAAAATAAATATGTGTTTAAAATAATTCCATGAAGAATATGATTAGAAGTTAATACATTTGAATTAAATTCAATGAGTTAATTTCCGATTAATTATGATTGTTAGAAAATGAATAGATATGATAGGAACAGCATGACATTTTTTGTTAAATGTCAAGGAGTCTAAATCAATGCAGATATTCTATGGATCGATTTGATTATATAGTAGAATATATATGTTATTCTTGACATTAATTAGAAGGAATTTAACGAACTATGATCTCGATCGAAGTGACTTTGATTGACATTATAGCTTTTTAAAGATTTCGAAAAACTGATATTATACGATTGTTTTTCTTATAGTTGAATGAGACTAGAACTTGCTCTAGAGATCTCTACATAAGGTAGTGACCAACTGGAGATAAATATTATAGAATACACAATAATAATAAAAATCCAATAGTACCTATTACATCTCTAACATATAAACGACATTGACTTGTATACATTATGTGAAAGTTTATGACATTCAAACGCGATATACATAACTTCATTTGAAATTGAGAACAGTCTATTCAAAACGATTGATACGAATGTCTAATCTTTTTTCAAATGCTCTAAGATTCGCTTGCGTTTTATATTACTTTATTTAATTCATGTAATAGAATCCGATACAATGAAAATTATTTTCATTGAATGAATTAAACTAACAAATTTTTTTAAATATAATCAAGTTTATTTTTAATTTTAATAAGAGGATCAAGATTATTCTTCAGGATTCTATGAAAACGGGTTAAGAATATTTAAAGAAAATAGATTATGTAAATATATTCAACGGTAAATTGAAGTAGTTTTTGTACGAGACTGTACTTCACGTTTTAAATGTTTTATGTTAGGCGTTTTAGTATCTAATACATCAGTCTTAGATGCTTTGGTAGTAGTAACACTTCGAATCTAGACCAATATATTAATGAAAGAACAAATAGAGATAAAACTATGCCTAGACAAAAAATAGTCAACAAATACCAACGTTTGATATTGTCGTATTAGCTAGTACACGAAACATTTAGATAGATAAAGAATTGAACTTTTTAAAAGATATCGCTTAATAGCATAATATTTTGGAATGAAAGTAGTAGCAAATTTGCAAGTGCTAATTTTCAAGGAGCATATATCTTGAGATAACGATAAGAAAAAAGGAGAAATTCTAAAAAGTTGCAGTATATTTTTCAAAAGGTCTACCCATGTAACTAAACATGTTGCTAATTTTATGAAAAGGAAGGAACGATTATAGTAGTAATGAATGTTATTAGATGATTTAATCAGTCTTTTAACATATTTCTTCGAGAAATACGTCGCATAAGCACATCTAAGATGTATCTACAAAGAATAATGACATACTACAAAGTTGTTAAGAATACGCCACCAAGATCTTTTATTATCTTCAGTATTGATTAAGGCCACCTTAATCATAATTACAAGGAACATAATTGCGTAGAACGAAATCAAGGTTTAAAAAAAAGAGTGCTGGAACACCGTTAGCGATTTACAACAATAATCATATCAATCATAATTCGACAACTGACTACTAGCTAATATTTACAATAATAAATATTTATCGATAGAAATATTGAAAATAAATGTTTACTGATACACTGGACATAACTCAAATAAAATATCTATATATTACAAGATCGACTAACAGAATGTTTACATGAACTGAGATTTAGAGTTTTAACATTTTTAGTTTAACTTTTTTGGGAAATGCTTTTTTCCATCTGCCTGACATGAAAAATTTCAAGAACACCCTTTTCATCTTAAGATACTTGTATGCTACTGAAAGAACGCTTTTGTATGTAAACAAATCAAATATACGAAAAGAAAGAGGATACGTTATTTCTTTCTCTTCGAGTTATAAATCAAATTACATGTGTCAATCTACCTGAATGGTAAAGGAGGTATACATCGATAAATTTATACATATACATAGTTACTACGATAGATTTTCTCTTTCTGTTCTACGTCGATACTGTAACGTCAAGCCAAAAGAGAAAAATCTAAGACATATTTTTTCGAAAGTGATCGATAGACAACTGTATTTACGAAATAAAAGAAACAATCAATCCATTTCACACAGATTGCATTAACATTAAAAATAATATGACTTCATCTACTGAAGAAACGCATTTAATTCCTTTCCCTGGTGATGATATACTTGCACGACCACAATCACCTTTATGGCGATTATTTCATGGTACACATTACATGATTGGTGGTCTTACATTTATTAGTGGATCATGTATGTACTTTCCAAGTGTTTATAATCATTATTCATCAGCATTTTCTATTGGTGGATGGCTGTTTACGAT